CATTGTAGGCTACTGGTTCAGGAAACAGTCCTCATCCTCCATAAAATGTGCTGCACACATCTGAATATTTGGGTTGAAGTGTTCTGGAACAGTGTTGTAAATACAACTTAACCACTGATTTGTAGTCGTGTCCTCTTTTGGAAGGCCAAACAAAGTAGTTTCGCTTTCACAACGAAACACACAGCTGCTCCACAACATGGCAGCGGCGGCAACAGCAAGAATTAAAGTTACGCCTTCTTTTTTTGCGTGAACATTTGGGTGGCAATATGCAAATCTTCCCACATAGTGATGTAGACATGTGGGGGCGTGTTAGAACGAGCCGTTTTAGGTAGGCGTGGTTGACTCTTAACTTTTATAAAGAATATCTCTTTGGATTTGAGACTTTAGTCTTTGCAACTTAACAGATCTTCTTTGTGCACCAAGAGCTTGTGACACTCCAAAGAGAAAGGAAAAATTGAAATCGCATCATATGAGCCCTTTAAATAAGTAGCGATTTGAGGAGCATGCTCTAATATTTTCAGTTCCATTCGTTTGCGCGTTGTTTCAAGGACACGCCCACAACAGGGGAACTAACGTAAACTCCACCCACTGGAACATTTTTTCACAGGAACAGAAAAAAACACCAGTCTTGTGACGTCATCACCCTTGCACCGGAGCAGGAAGTGCCGGAGGTCGGTGGGACTCTAAATAGTCTTCTGTTTTTGCTGCGCAATTTCATGCTTTACCGAGCAAACATGTAACGGTACATTCTCCAGCCGAACAAGAATCCACCGAATCATACCTTAGCTCAAACCCATGACGGCCGGGACACTCTAGCGGCGGGGGTGAGACTCGTTTACCGGAGGAGAGATGAAGGAGGTGCGGGGCTGCGGCATGCGGAGCGCCGTCGGGTTCCTCTCCCGCAGGGCGATCGACGGACAGCCGCGGCTGAAGGAGGACTTTCAGCGGCGCAGACTGGCCGGCTGCTCCAGCCTCTATAACAAGGACATGCTCGGCCACTTCGGCTGCGTTAACGCCATCGAGTTCTCCAACAATGGAGGCCAGTGGCTGGTGTCCGGTAAGATCCTCCGGTTCTGCACGCTGATCTTTCTAATGTGGGTCAGCGAGAGAAAGACAGACAGGAGTCTCTAACGGTGTATAGAATAGGCATGCAGAATAAAACATGCAGTGACAGCATTGCTTTGACAGCTTCGATTTGTCAGATTGTGCATGCATGTTTTATTTTTCTGGGCATTGCCAAAAAAAGAAGAAGAGATTTCAGTCTTTCGGTCAGTATATATAAACGTGTTAAGGTGCACTCAGTAAAAAAAGTTTTTACACAAAGAAACGCAACGACCAGAGTAATGTCATTAAAATGATATTAGATTACATAATGTACATCCACATGAGATGAAGATCAGTCTTCTAGAATAAGCTTTTTTTCTATTCTGCATGTATGAAATGGGTCGCCCTTTATGGCGTAATCATGTTGACATCACGTGACCAGCCTTATCATGCAATTGACTAAAGTTACTAGTAGTTTACTAAGTTGCTTCTAAGAATAAACAATAATGAAAATATCTACCATGCCATAGTTCATAGATAAACTGCAAGACATTAAGCGCCAACTGCAAATATATGACAGTCACCACACTAGAAAAAAGTGCCTGTCATTGTACAAAACTTGTTAGAATTGCATCCAGAAATGTTCATTTACTTCTTCACAAACTTCATCCATCCAGGCTGATAGGTGTCAGTATGAAATCCTTTCCACTGGTACTTTTAGTAAGAATAGGTGCCGGATAAGCCTGAACAAAACAAACTGAATGCACCTTTAATGTATATTGTATGTGGTTCACACTGTAGAAGGGCCTCCACAGTTTTTGTCGGACTCTTTTTCTTGCTGACTCATTAATAGGTTGCAGCTGTTACTGATTCTTTTGGCTTCTCATTTTCATTCCTGCTTTTGAATGTCTTTTGTATGTTTTTGCACTTGCATATTTTCAGTTTTTACGTTTGGCATATACGGTGTGGTGAATCCGCAGAGTTCCAGAGAGTTTCCGTGCTCATGGAAACCAGGAAATATCAGACAATTAAAAAATTGTGGTTTCAAACGTTTTCTAGAAATACTTGTATTTTATTAGCTAGAATGTACCCTTTCTAACTGCATTCTGTTTAAAATATTTTAACTCCAGTAATGACTAGAAAAGTTATGTAAATCCATGGGCCAAAACACTGAGAGAAGATTTTGAAGAGAGAATGGTTTTGTTTTTTTTGCCATTTACACAGGTTTTGTACAGAAAAATGTAGATGAACTTGCACTTAGTTTCACTGTGAAACTAAATTAAAGTTTCACAGTGAACTAAACTATTAAAACTAAACTATTTTTTAAACTTTTATTACTGTGATGATCAGCTAAATCTTCTCCAGTCTTCAGTGTCACATGATCCTTCAGAAATCATTCTAATATGCTGATTTGGTGCGCAAGAAATATTTTATTATTATATATCAATGTTAAAAACAGTTGTGCTGTTTTATATGTTTTTTGGAAACAGTGATACTGTTTATTTCAGGATCCTTGGATGAATAGAATGTTTAAAAGAACAGCATTTATTTGAAATAGAAATCTTTTGTAACATTATAAATGTTACTGTCAGTTTCTATCAGTTTAATGCAGCCTTACTGAATAAAAGTATTAATTTCTTTTTAAAAATTGTTATTGAACCCAAACGTCTGAATGGTAATGTTTGTGTCTCAGATTTCCTGCATATCCTTAAAATCAGGGCTGTCCAAACTCAGTCCTGGAGGGCTGGTGTGCTGCAGAGTTTAGCTCCAACCCCAATTAAACACACCTGAAGCAGCTAATCAAGCTCTTACTAGGCATACTAGAAACTTCCCAGCAGGTGTGTTAAGGCAAGTTGGAGCTAAACTCCAGGACCGAGTTTGGGCACCTCTGCTTAAAATGGTGTCTGGAAACATGTCACTGCTGCAACACAAGGCAGTCATCTAAATTTATTTCATTAGATATAAATGTGTGTTTTCCAGTTGGCCCAAGAATTTTATTTATGGACATAATTTCTAGAGCAGATTTGCCATTCAAGTTTGTCACTCACAGAGCTTTTTGCAAGTCTCCAGACTGCATTATTTTACAAACAATATAAAATAAAATAAAATAGCTGAGAATAAAACACCTTTTGTATTAAATCAGAGCAGGAGTATGAGAGGGCTATATGATGTTTTTGTTATCATGACCATGAATTTCTGAACTGCTGTTGAGAACAAGCCTCCCAAACTCTTCCTTGGTGTCTGTAAAACTGCCAGATTGTGTGCATATAACCTTACATTCATACCCTCAAGAGAGGGATGTCGAAACATTTCTCTGGTGAATCTATTAATCTGTCTTCTGTTGTAGGTGGAGATGACCGCAGGGTGCTGCTGTGGCACATGGAGAAAGCAATACACTCACGAGCCAAACCGATCAAGTTGAAGGGGGAGCACCTGTCCAACATCTTCTGCCTGGCATTTGACAGCACCAACAAACATGTTTTCTCAGGAGGTAAAACAAGCAGCTGCTCAGATTCGTGATGCTGCAGCTGAAACAGAGGGGCGATCAAATGTCTAATGTTTCTGTTTGGCACTGCAGGAAATGATGAGCAGGTGATTCTGCACGACGTAGAACGTGGCGAGACGCTCAACGTCTTCTTGCATGATGACGCTGTGTACGGTCTGTCCGTCAGTCCTGTTAATGATAACATCTTCGCCAGCTCCTCTGATGACGGCCGAGTTCTCATATGGGACACACGAGAACCGCCACATGGAGGTACACATTCAAAAGTGACACATAAAGGATAATCACAGACTCAACTATCGTTCAAAGGGTTGGGGGTCGGTAATGTGTTTTTAAAATATTATTGTGATTTGAAAGAACTATTTTCTATTTGAATATATTTTAAAAAAGAATTGATTCCTGTTATGGCAATGTTGAAGTTTTAGCAGCCATTACTCCAGTTTGAAAGAAGGCATTCTAATATGTTAATTTGCTGCTCAAGAAACATTTCTTATTATTATCAGTGTTAAAACCAGTTGTGCTGCTTAATATTTTTATGAAACCATGATACATTTTCAGGATTTTAGAACCTCCGTTTCATCTAAATTATTTTTTTCTTTTCACACTATAATTCTGTTGTGTTCTAGAACCGTTCTGCTTGGCCAACTACCCCTCAGCGTTCCACAGCGTGATGTTTAACCCCGTAGAACCCCGTCTGCTGGCCACTGCAAACTCTAAAGAGGGGGTGGGACTGTGGGACATCCGCAAACCCCGCAGGTCAGATGGAGATCTGTCCGAAAAAAGCACACACATTCTATCACAGTCTATCTCACTTCTATCACATTTTAACTTTTTTCTTTCAAAGGACAAAAGACATTATCAAAAGAAAGTTTGAGAGGGATTGAGAGAGCGGCTAAACATTTTTCAGTGTAATTATCAGATCTCAGCACTTTCACTTGTAATTTCATGAATCATCCTTAATACTGTGTTATTAACATAAAAATATTTAAAATATACCCTAAAAATGCATTTAATTTTAGGGTATCAGTTTCGAATTTGAACATTAAAAAATAAAATTTCAGTGATTTGACAGCTTATATTTCTATAGTGATTTATATTTGCATAAATTAACTACTGTTTAGAAGGTTTTTTTATACAAAGAAAGCAATACTTTTATTCAGCAAGGATGCATTCAGTGGATCAAAAGTGACAGTACAGACTTCTGTAATGTTAAAAAAGAAAAAAATATTTCTATAAGGATTTTAAATCAATTCTGTTCTATTGAAAAAGAATCCTGAACAATATGTTACAGTTTCTACTAAAATCAGAGGCGGACAAAGTACTCAACTCCATTACTTGAGTGAAAGTACAGATACTGCTGGTCAAATATTACTCCATTACATGTAAAAGTTGTAAAGACAGATTTTTACTTAAGTACAAGTACAGAAGTACTTGCTTTTAAAAGTACTTAAGTACCAAAAGTAAATTTCCTTTTTTATGTCAATGCACTGTTTTATTATTGTTGTTTGTAATACTTACAATACTTCTGATGCAACTTAGAATACAGTACACCTACTGAATACACCGACTAGCTTGTAGTATATTTGGAATAAAGAGCTTTTAGAATGTTAAAAACCTATGGGGAAAAAAACTAAACAAAAAACATTATTGAACACCCCTACCCACCCCCACAAAAGCAAGATGGTAGTGATCTCACACAGCTCTGACAGTGTGTGCACACATCTATGTGTAGCCATTCATCCACATTTGAACAGAGTGGACCGTGAAATCCTGTAAATACAGAGTGATAAGGACAAAAAATTCAAACGTGCTTTAAAACCCAGCAACACAACTGTAGATGTATAACTTTACAACAGCTGCAGGACTGTGGCTGTACAGAACCGAAGTTGGCCACCCCTGGTGTAAATAGATATTTAAAATTGTAATAATATTACACTTTCAAAAACTTTTGAGGTGCTAGCCTGTTAACTGTACTTTTTCCTGGTTATTGCACAGCTACTTACCAAATATGTAAATAAATGGACATGAAATATTAATTTGAGTTAAGTTTGTTTTATTTTGTGTGAAAAAAGAGATGGCAGAGGGCCATGAGGAATATGGAAGTAGGACAGTTAGCTGCAATGGACATTGTTCAAATAAACAGTTTAGTGTCATTATGCAAGTATGTCTGGCTGCAATTGGTTATTGGTTTATCAGCATCAAGAGTTAGAGAACTGTGCTTATATGCACAGCTAAGCAGGCAAAACAAGGGTTGCTGAACTATGTCCAGTAAAAGCTTGAACACTTGCTTCGGTCCAAATATGTAGATATTTAAAATTGTAATAATATTACACTTTCAAAAACTTTTGAGGTGCTAGCCTGTTAACTGTACTTTTTCCTGGTTATTGCACAGCTACTTACCAAATATGTAAATAAATGGACATGAAATATTAATTTGAGTTAAGTTTGTTTTATTTTGTGTGAAAAAAGAGATGGCAGAGGGCCATGAGGAATATGGAAGTAGGACAGTTAGCTGCAATGGACATTGTTCAAATAAACAGTTTAGTGTCATTATGCAAGTATGTCTGGCTGCAATTGGTTATTGGTTAATCAGCATCAAGAGTTAGAGAACTGTGCTTATATGCACAGCTAAGCAGGCAAAACAAGGGTTGCTGAACTATGTCCAGTAAAAGCTTGAACACTTGCTTCGGTCCAAATATGGACTGCAATCAAGCTGACAAGGCCAGCTTTATCATCATAGCTGTCTGCTGTACTGCCTGAGACCAGCAGGGGACAGCAGAGCTTGTGTAAAGATGTTCTCAGTTTGGTCACTGTAAACATGATCTCCTGAAATAACACAAATCTGAATGATGATCTTTTATAATAACCTGCTTTCCTCTGTGGTTGATGTCTCTCTCTCTCTCTCTGTGCTGTAGTTCTCTGTTAAGGTACGGAGGGAGTTTGTCTCTTCAGAGTGCCATGAGTGTGCGCTTTAACAGCATGGGGACGCACCTGCTGGCTCTGCGCAGGCGTCTGCCTCCCGTCCTGTACGAGCTCCACTCTCGTCTGCCCAGCTTCCAGTTTGATCACCAGGGCTACTTCAACTCCTGTACTATGAAGAGTTGCTGTTTTGCTGGAGACCATGATCAGGTTAGATAAACAGGATGCTCAAAACCCATATATATAGCATAAGAGACGTCTTTCAAATTTCACATTAAAAAATCTTACCAAACCTCAAACTCTACCAACAAATCGCAAATGTTTTTGTTATATTATAGTATAGATGTTTCACCAATTACCAATTTTCTGATAATAGGAAGGTACCCAAGATGGAAAGGAAGTTGTACTAAGCTTGTCAAGTGATCTCAACAGCAGCCACCATTAGACGACCTGTTCCATGTAGAATAAAACTGCTTTTATTAGGCTGCTGATTTGACTCTGGCTACTGAGATTATGTCATAGCCCTGTGTGACAATCATATTTTAAAAAGTGTTATATATTTCTTTTATGTTTAATTCCTGAGTGCATCAGCATATTTATTCTGGTTTAAGGTCTTGTCCATCAGATGCAGGTCACACTGGTTTCTTAGGGATTCAATTCTTTTATTCAGACTAGACCGCTATATAAAGCATAACAGAATTAACTAAATCTCTAAAACAGTGTGTCAGTGGATTGTAGATGCTGAGCGTGTGTGTTTTCAGGTATGCTCAGTGAGGGAATGGCTTGTAGAAGCTTGTTTTATCAGTGTTGAATCTAAAGCTCAGCAGATGCTCTTCTGTCTGTCTGCCTGCGTTTGTGTGTGTGTGCTGGTCTCTTGGGTTCTGTGTTTGGATTTTTTTGTATGTTTGTCCAGCTGCTTCTGCTCTCTCTGTCTGACTGTCTTACACCTCCTTCTATAGAACGATGTATTCTCCTCCCTAAATTCTCTCTAACATCTGAACAGCTCACTGTGTTGGTGTTACTCAGAACTGTTTTCAGAAATTAGATAAATGTGTCTGAAAACCTCTTGGGGACAACATATTGTTTTGTTATAAATAATGTTAATATTCTGTATTATAAATATGCTACCATTTAAAAGTTTGGGGTACATTTTTTTTATATTTTTGAATGAAGAAGACTTGACAGATGCTGAATGTTGAAATACTGTTATTTGTGAACTATCAATACAATTTAAAATAACTGTCTTCTATTTGAATATATTTTAAAATGTAATTTATTCCTTTGATGACAAAGCTGAATTTGCAGCAGCCATTAATCCAGTCTTCAGTGTCACATGATCCTTCAGAAATCATTTTAATAGGTATGCTCAGTGAGGGAATGGCTTGTAGAAGCTTGTTTTATCAGTGTTGAATCTAAAGCTCAGCAGATGCTCTTCTGTCTGTCTGCCTGCGTTTGTGTGTGTGTGCTGGTCTCTTGGGTTCTGTGTTTGGATTTTTTTGTATGTTTGTCCAGCTGCTTCTGCTCTCTCTGTCTGACTGTCTTACACCTCCTTCTATAGAACGATGTATTCTCCTCCCTAAATTCTCTCTAACATCTGAACAGCTCACTGTGTTGGTGTTACTCAGAACTGTTTTCAGAAATTAGATAAATGTGTCTGAAAACCTCTTGGGGACAACATATTGTTTTGTTATAAATAATGTTAATATTCTGTATTATAAATATGCTACCATTTAAAAGTTTGGGGTACATTTTTTTTAATGTTTTTGAATGAAGAAGACTTGACAGATGCTGAATGTTGAAATACTGTTATTTGTGAACTATCAATACAATTTAAAATAACTGTCTTCTATTTGAATATATTTTAAAATGTAATTTATTCCTTTGATGACAAAGCTGAATTTGCAGCAGCCATTAATCCAGTCTTCAGTGTCACATGATCCTTCAGAAATCATTTTAATATACAGAGTTGGTGCTCAAGAAACATGTCTTATTATTATTGATGTTGAAAACAGTTGTGCTGCTTAATATTTTAGTGGAAACTGGTAAAAAAAAAAAACAGGATTCTTTGATGAATAGAAAGTTTGCAGAACAGCATTTATATCAAATAGAAATCTTTTGAAACATTTTAAATGCCTTTACTGTCACTTTCAGTTTAATCATTAAAGTACTTCTTTAAAAAACATCTCCAAACCTTTAAATGGGTGTGTGTGTGTGTGTGTGTGTGTGTGTGTGTGTGTGTGTATATATATATATATATATATATATATATATATATATATATTGTCCCATACTTGGAATTGTGCTCTGCATTTAACCCATCCAAGTGCACACACACTGAGAACACACACTAGGAGCATATATGTATATACTGTATGTTATTTAAATGTGGATGTTATGTGGATGTTTTGTGTGTGGTAGTGCTATTGAGCCTGAAGGTGTTTTATATATATATATATATATATATATATATATATATATATCTCTAGAAACTTCTCTGTGCAGATCATGTCATATTTCTCTAGAACTGTGACATGATTGGTTAGAGTGTATGTAATAATATGTTTCTATGTCTTTTCAGTACATCTTGTCTGGCTCAGATGATTTTAACCTTTACATGTGGAGAATCCCCAATGACCCTGAAGCAGGTAAACACAGTCACTCATACACAGACTAACCGTGTCTAATGTTGTTCTTATTTATGGACTCATTCTCTCTCTGTCTCGACAGGAGGTCCGGGTCGAGTGGTGAACGGGGCCTTTATGGTTCTGAAAGGTCATCGGTCTATCGTGAATCAGGTCCGCTTTAACCCTCACACATACATGATCTGCTCCTCCGGGGTGGAGAAGGTCATTAAGGTTAGTTGTTACTCTTTTACAAAAATCCTTATGTCGTTCTAACTGTTTACGCTGCTCTTTTCCATAATATAAACGTGAATGGGGGTGGATGATTGGATTTAAATAATTATAAATGTAATCCGAATGGATTGTGTATTATAATACAGTTTATCTGACAATTTAAGTTGGTGTTCACTGAAAATCTTTCCCTACACTGTAGCTCTCCAGTCTCACTTGTGACACCTCTGGTTCTCACATACATTTTTTTAAAAAGAGAAATTAACACAAATTAAAGAAATGGACACATTGAATTGATCAAAAGCAACAGTAAAGACATTTATATTGTTACTTAATAGTTCTACTTCAAAGAGATTTTCACATAAATAAATTAATTCAGATGTTCATTCATTATGTTTTTGAATAAAGTCTTAGATGCTAACCAAGGCTGAAATACTGTAGTTTAAAATAACTGTTTTCTATTTGAATATATTTTAAAATGTAATTTATTCCTCTGATGGCAAAGCTGTATTTTCAGCAGCCATCCAGTGTTCAGTCACATGGTCCTTCAGAAATCATTCTAATATACTGATTGTAATCCTCAAGAAACATTTCTTAATGTTTTAATTCAGGATTCTTTGATGAATATAATGTTTATTAGAACAGCATTTATTTGAAATAGAAATCTTTTGTAATATTTTAAATGTCTTCACTGTCAGTTTTGATTCATTTAATACTTCCTTGCTGAATACTATTGTTTTTACTGACTCTTAAACTTTTAAACCGTAGTGTATGAAATTTTATATTATAATAATGGGATTAATCACAATTTAAAGTTGTAGTTATTGACAGTAAGAACTACTCTTAAAAATGAAAAAAATCATTTATTTTAGAAATTCTATAAAACAAATCACAGTTTAATAGCTAATTTTGAAAAGAATGTCTTTATGATAACAGATATATATATATATATATA